GACGTAAAGTTTCAATTCTCTGTGAGGAATGTATCTGACATACCACTAAATTATGAATTAGAAAGTCCTGATTATATCGAGATGGATGATAATTCCAATTGTGCTAATCAAGGGGTTGTTGCTCTTAAGTATACAGTGGAGCCACGTGCTGACAAAATTATCACAGCAATACTTAAACCTCGTCTAATACCCAATTTTGCTGCTGGTGAACGCACATTTATAGTTAATGTTCTTAATATGTACAATCCTTCGAATGTCTTAACTTTAAAAGTTAAATCAATTCTCACACTGTTTGAGCTCAAATTTGATCGTCTAACGCATGGTGAACTAGTAATGCCTACTCTTTACCATCCAATTCCTTCATCAGACGTTCCATGTGATGCTTGGTTCACGATCATTAATGTGAGCGATCAAGACATCCGGTTCGAAATTGGCGTAGAACTCAAACCTGAAGTTTCTCAATTTGTAAAAGTTGAAGTTCTTTCCAGATATTCTAATTCTCCATTAGTAGGTGTAGTATCAATTAGTGGTAATGGTTCTACGGAAGTCAGAGTACGCATTTATCCAATCGAAACAATTCGTATACCTTATGAGCTATCTTGTCTCACAGATAATAAGGGTATCATCTTTGGAAACCTTTGGGTTGCAACAAAACAGACAAATGATAATGCAGACCAGAAAGTTGCTGAGAATATACCTATTCGCGGTATTATTGCAGAATTCTCAATGTTCTCTATATCTCCAAACAGAATTCGATTCAAGACTACATGGTCTTCAGATAGTGAAATTACTGACGAAGACTATTCTGTAAGTCGTATTCCTGCGGTGCCTTTAATTATCGGTGACTCGGAAGATACGTCTATCCAAAATAATTCGGTCACAATTACCAATAATTCAGATAAAATACCCCTTTTTTTCAAAGTTCAAATTGAGGGGCCGATGGAATTTTCTGCGAAAGATATTATTAATATTACTCCTTTGGATGAAAATGGATATGGTACTGTGGAAGCAGGTCAAAAGCTTTTGCTAAGAATTGATTTTGTTAATTCTGCAGTAGCAGTATCAGAAGACATCAAGATTCATATCGTAGATTTAAAATCACTCTGTGGACAAAAGAGAACTATTCTTGTTAGTATTGAATCCGACATTAGAGAAAATCGCAGCAAAATAAATTCTACTGCTTTAGAAGCAATTGATTTTATTAGGAATCCTTTAGCACCTTCATTGGAAGGTATCCACACGTACAAGGAATCTTCATCCGGCCTTCCTCATATTACTCTCCGTGGATGCAAACGAATTGGAGGAACTACCGAATTTAGCGGCCGATATGAACTGGACCTTGGACAACAAGATCTCGGATCCACTACCATTGTAAAGAAACTAACACTCGAGAATTCAACTTCTCAACAAATTTCTTACCGCATTAAAACAGTTTTCGAAAGCGATAAAAATTGGCTCAATATTAATCGATTTGAAGGAACATTAGAGGCGTTAACAGATGATTATGAGCAACGTCTAGATGCTCATACAATCACGCTGAGTTTTTCTACAAATACCAGAAATGTCCATTCAACTTATTTAATTATCGAAAATTTGAGTAATCCCTCAGATATCAAGACTATAAGAGTTATGATGGAGGTTTGTATGTTTTATTTTGCAGCAATGGATTGGATAGTTTTTTCTTATCATTCTAATGTTTACAGGTTGTCGCTCGCCAAAATTTGCGACGAGGGACAAGTGCACCACTTTCTAATAATCACGTCTTTGATATTTACGTGAACGGTGTAGATATTAGCCATACCTGGATTGAGATGCTCAATCTTTTTTATGGTTCTGAATATTCTGCTCGTAGCATGGTGATTTATAATAGAGAGACTGTCCCCCTTGAGTTCACGGTATGAATGTTATAAATTACAGTAACTACGCGAAATATGAAAGAAATTTACATTAGTCATTGTTTATTGTTCCATTTCTGTTTAACAGTTTCAAACAAATCTCGATTATGATGACCCGACCGAAATAGTGTTTTCCACATCAAGAATCACCGCAAAATTATTTAAAACGCTTACTGTTGAACCTGAAAGTAACGTACGAGTCTACATTCGTTTCCGACCACTTCCTTCTCGAGAAGTTCAGAAATCACTTGACAATAATAAACAAAGAGATCCCGAATTAATAGAGACAAAAATAATTGAAATATATGTGAATTGTAGACTTGTTAAGGATTATCAGCAAACTGTTATACTAAAAGCGGAATGCAAAATTCCATCATTACGAGTGGAGTACGAGGACTCTGAGGCTTTGACAGGTAAGGACATAAATATTACGTCACACTTGTTATTTTTATTAATCAACATTATTTTTAATTAGGAAAAATATATCGACAAGATTCTAATTGCAATGATGATGAATTTACCGTGCAATTTGATCAAGAATATCGAGAAATTATGATTAAGAATTTGCTCGATGCTCCACTAGAATATGAAATAGTAAATGACACAATGTACTTCATTTTGGACGTCTCTCATGCCAGTAATATGGTAACTCCAAGATCAGATCATCGCATTATTGTACGACCAAATGTTAAAGCTCTAATGAAAAATGCCGAAAGCGTTCGGAGGGTGTGTAGCATTACCCATATATTTGCGAAATAACGCTCAGGGCGTGATTTCGAATTGCACCTGAATTAAGTTTAATCAAGTTATTATTCAAAATAACTCTCATACCCGTTATTTCGCAAATGAACTTTATTACAATAAATAAAAGACTAACTCATTTTATCCTAAATAATATCAGGAAAAATATATTCAAGAGTATGTTACAGTATATAACCGAAATAGACCGTCGGAAAATTACTGGATACCACTTAGAATAAGCTTTGGTTACTTTAAAAATTTTCAGGTTGGTATTTTAACAAATTTTAGCATTACACCTGTATTTAAATTTTATATCGTTGTTTTTCTTTTAAAAATTATATAGCTAACATCGGGCTATAAAGCTTCATACGCTTTTGGCGTTCTTGAAAATCGTGCTGTGAACTTCCTGAATGATTTTAATCGTAATTCACAGAATCTTTCTTTACTTGGTACTTGTAACGATGAGGTATGGTCCGAAATCATATTTTTCGTAACGTTAATTTATTTAATAACCTTAATTATTTCAATAAATAGGACTTTAAGAAAAAAATGCTAGACCTTGAATTCCAATATTTCTACATTGTTGACCAATTAGTTTATTATTCCACAATTAAAACGGGAGAGAATTGGTTTCAGTTAGCTAGTTTGTTATTTGGGTAAGTGCAATCTTAACTTTCGTCACTTGTTTATGGTCCTTCGCATGCTATTAAGAGTCTATAATATTAGAATTGTGTTGAGGGATCAAGTTTTTCGAAATTATGGACCGGCATATCTTAAGAAACCTGATGATGGAACAGATAAAGTATGGCCCCCGCACTTGGCAAAATGGGTTGGTTTTAATAATTTTTCCTAATTTCTAATACAAGTTTAATAAATTGAAGATTTAATATTAACTTTATCTTAATAGATATCACCGTTAAACTATTTTATTTCATTTTTTCCTTATCGAAATCCAATGCTTGAAACATTGAAGGACCTTCACAAAAATTTAATAATTTTACCAACTTTCACAAACTGATTTATAAAAACAATTGTATTTCATTAGAATTATAAATTAAATATTTATTATAATTTCCTTTAATGGCAAAATTTTAATTTCTCCAGACTAATCTTCGTAAATATACATATATATTACGAACTTTTGTATTATAAACTAAAATATAAACAATAAGTGAAAAAAATAAAAAAATCTACAATAATTATTGCATCGTCGGCTTTTATAGAAAAGAATAAATATTTTTTAATGTAGTACGATTAAAATAAAAACAATTGCTATGTAAAAAATTTTTTTGCTTACCATTGTCACGGCTGATTTTGTGTGATCAACATCTTCATGTCTCCATAAAGCAGTTACCGTTTTAGTTTGTGTGTAAAATTGTAATCCACTTCTTCCATCTAATTTTCCATATAAATATCAGTAAAAACTATATTAACTTGATATCACATAATTAGAAATACTTGCAGAAATTAACATCTCCTTGAATAGAAGCCTTATTTCCGGTAAATGAGAACATTGGTAAGGGAACCGGAATTGGTACATTTACTATATACAAGTAATAAAAGTTTAGAAAATTTTGCAATTTTGGCTAAAAAAGGTGATAAAATGAAAAGAAATGAATAAATACCACCAATTTGCCCAACTTCAATGGATGTTGTAAAATAACGTGCATTGCTTCCATTACTTGTGAATATAGCAGTGCCATTTCCATAAGGATTATCATTGATTAATTTAATAGCATCATCAAGAGTATCAGCATTTAAAGTAATAAGAACAGGACCAAATATTTCCTCCTATAAGTTTTTTATTAAAAGTTAGGTTATTAAATTACAAACATAATAAAATAGGTTATACATCTTAATGACCTTGTAACAATCCATATGAGGTCTAACATCCGCCAAAATAGTTGGTCCTATATATGCACCAATCTCGTAAACTTATATTGAGTTTCGGCATTTTTAAACACGAAATGAGTTATACATACCGACAAAGTTTCCGTTCTTATACTTTTCTGGAACTGCTGGGTTACGTCCATCTAATATCAATTCTGCACCTTGATCAACACCACTCTGGATTAGTTTTTCAACGCGTTCTTTAGCTTGACGTGTGATCAAAGGTCCAAGGTCTGTGTCAGGTTCCATTCCACCCGAAATTTTGAGTTTACTTGCACGTTCAACGAGATCTGGTAACCATTCTTTTGCTTTACCAACAAATACAACAGTAGACAGTGCCTTAAAAAGTTTGAAAGACATTAATACTGTAACTTTTGGATTATATATTGAATAATATAAATACGTAGAGTATTTGTAATCAAATGGCCCTTCGGAGCTATGTAGATTTGTGAGCATATTTGAGTTGCTGGCCATTTAATAATTAAATTCAAATAATTTTCTACCTTATTTGATTTTGTATAGCTTAGTAAGCTATATAATGTGAATAAAAAAAAAGGCCTATTAAGATTGAACCATTAGATACCCAACCAATTCAAATTTTGTTCGCAAATATACATAGCTCCATAGTATCTTTCTTTTTTTTTTTTTTTTTTTTTGCAAAGATTAAAATAAACGAAATAAACAAATATTACCATACAACGTTGTCCAGCAGCGCCAAATGCAGAGCCAGCGAGCTGATTTAGCGTACGATTCTATCACAAAATAATAATGTTTCAAGTCAGTGGTCACTTTAAAAATAACAAATTTCAATAATATAAATTCACAAACTTTATTGGCATCGGGCATAACGACGCCATGATTTTTCGCACCTAAGTTGGCCTATTAATAAATTTAAATAAAATTGCTTGTTCATGTAAAAATAATAAACAAAAATATCAAATTCTATACAAACTTGCACCCGTTTGCCGTTTGCAGTCCCTCGTTTATAAATATATTTTCCAGCTGATAATGAAAAAGGTACATGTCAACAATGTCATTGATGCTCATCCGATTTAAAGGTTTCATATGTATATATAGAAAGCTACCGCGATCACTCCCGACAAAAGAGATAGCTTTTATATGCTCATTGTCGCATATAAAGTTTACAGCATCGACAGAACCATGAACAATATTGAGAACACCATTTGGTACGCCAGCTTCTTTGACCAATTGGGCTAGAATCATTGCAGCACCTGGATCACGTTCTGAAGGTTTAATGATCATAGTATTCCCCGCAGCAATTGATAAAGGAAACATCCATAATGGAATCATTGCAGGGAAGTTAAAAGGACAAATTCCAGCAGTAACACCCAATGGTTCCCGGATTGTAAAGGTGTCCATGTCGGTAGCAACTGCCAATTGCTCGCCCATAAACAAATTCGTAATACCACAAGCAGTTTCAACAACTTGCCTCCCTCGCAAAACATCACCCTTCGCGTCAGCAAAGGTTTTTCCTTGTTCTTCAGTGATAGATTTTGCAAGCTTGTCAGCATGTTCTCGGATCAAAAGCTGAAGATCTAACAAGATACGTTGCCGTGAAAGAATAGAAGTTTTTCTCCATGTCTTGAAAGCCTCAGCAGCAGTGTCAGCAGCAGTTTTTAATTCTTCAGGAGTAGTTTCAGGAACGAGAGTAACCAATTCATTTGTTGCCTAAAGGGATAAATTAAACAGTGAAATTGTGGGAATTAATATGTACAGGGAAAAAAAAACCTTGAGTTATAAAACATACTGGATTATACAATGGTATCCATTTGTCCGTCTTCGATTCCACAAATTCACCATTAATGAATAATGGGGTTGTGCGTTTTGTATTAAGGGAATTCACGGGCGAAACTGGTTGTAAAGACCGTACGCTTGTCGAAAACGCGCGGATAACACGAATTCGTTCGGCGTGATATGCAAATTTGGATAAAATAATCTTACGAAGCATGGTATATAGCAACAGCTATTACTATGCCGATCACTCATGTCATACACGATTTATAAAATTTTTTTATACGTATTGTTTGATATATATCGATATAACTTTATTCCATTAAAAGATATGTATGTATAAATTATATATGTATATATTATATATGTATATATATGTAATATAGCATTTATCGTTATATATATTTATCATTATAAAAAGTAGGGACTCCATAATTGTTTTATACAAATTTGACGCCCAGGACCGATTTGTACTCTTAAAGAACGCCGTCTTGATTATATTACAAGAAGGACAAATTTTGTCCTGGGCATCAAATAATAAAATTCCATATAGTATTTATAAAATTGTTGGTATGAAAGAATGTGACAAATGTGCAGATTAAAATGAAATCAGATTAAAATGAAATGAGCGATAGTGTAAAATAGACAAGCCACCGAAAAATACAAA